ATGGTACATTGCAGGGTTTATAATCATTGTAATGAAACAAGGTGTAGGATTTGTTGAATGTAAAACTGATGATCTGCCCTTTAAACATTCACTTAATCCACAATAAAAACTTCAAAAAAAAAAAGACTAGTAAGAAGGAAATGCAAAATGAATGGCTAGCCACTGAAAATCTTACAAATAGCAGTGGCACACTGTCAGATATAGTGCCAGAAGACAAGCTCTTCAGGTTGGAAGGAATTCAATATAGGATTGGGATAAAACTGTCTTCTCAAAGTTGAGTTAACCTTAATGGCATGAATGCAAAAAGCTTCCAGGACTTTCATTTGCTGATATGGCACATCTCAAAATGAGAAAAGATAAGAGTTGCCAATGACATCTTTTGGCTTGAATCCATAATCAACATTCATGGAACCAGCAATCAAGTAATCAAAAGACATTGTAATAGGCAAATCCACTACAAAAGACCTTTAAAGTGTTCAAGAACAGAGATGTCAGTTTGAGGATGAAGGTGAGCCTGACATGGTATTTTCAATCACCTCAAAGTTGGACAATGAATAAGAAAGACTTGATGCATTTGAATTACGATGCTGGTGAAGAATATTGAGAGTACCATGGACTGCAAGAAGAACAAACAAATCTGTGTTGGAAGAAGTACATCTAGAATGTTCCTTAGAAGCTAGGATGTTGAGATATCTTTTGCCATTTAGACTTGTTAGGAACGACCAGTTCTTTCAGGTTGAAGAATGCTGAACATGTTCGTTCCTTTTGGTTTTCTAACTCCAGGTCTTTGAATATATCATTATAAATCTTTACTTTGACTTCTTGAGTTATCCTTTGAAACTTTCTATTCAGTTTTTTTACTTCCTCGTGTCTTCCAGTTACTCTACGTTCTCTACACTCAAGAGCAGCTTTCAAAGGCTCTTTAGACATCCATTTTGGTCTTTTCTTTTGTTTTTCTGTCTTTTGAATGACTTTTTTCTTTCTTCATGTATGATGTTCTTAAAGTCATCTCACAGCTCCTCTGGTCTTCAGTCATTAGTGTCTCATGCATCAAATCTGTTCTTGTGATGGTTGCTCAATTCATGTGGGATATAGTCAAGGTCATATATTCATGCTCATGGAGGGTCAAGGAAAAAGAGAAAGAACCCTATCCAGAAGTACTGACAGCAAGAATGGGCTTAAAAACATCAACTATTGTGAAGAGAATGCAGGACCGGATTGTATTACGTTCTGTTGCCCATAGGGTGGCTATGAGTTGGAAGTGATTCGACAATTCGAAGGTGCTTAACAATAATAACAATTTCCATCACTTTATGCTGCCTTAGAAGTAGGAGTCTAAAGACCTGCTTTGTCACTTTGAACAGGCTCTAAGACTCCCAATCTGATCCTAAGTTACCATTACTTTTCTCACATGATAAAAAAAACAACCTAGGATAATATTATACTGTTATTAGTTGATACTGTAACTTATATTGCAAAAAATAAGAGAAATCATAAAGAAATTATAAATTTAAAAGTAATGGTTTATAAACTACATAATCTCACTATTAAAAAAGGTTGTCCTATTATCTGACTTAGATAACATACAAATTCCAAGATTCTGAAAAGGAATAAATAACGTAATTTCTAAATATTAAAATGGGTATTTGATAAAAATGCAAGCATATTCACCATTAAATCATCTAGGAGAAGATGATAGTGGTACTTACAAACAAAAACGTATTTTCACTGATTTTGAACATATTTGTGTAATTATATTTGTAAGTGAACCTGGTATTATAGATACTATGCTTCAAGTGTAATAATGAAAAGCCTTCCTCATTCATAACAACATGATATAGACAAAACTAAGAAATAAACAAAGGACAAAAGTAATCTTTCTAATGTGTTAAGGGACTAACACTTCATAAAGAAAAAAAAAACGTGAAAGACAATTCGGTTTAAAAGCTATTCCTTGTGATAACACAAAAAAGGGATCGATTGTTTTCGTTACACTAAAAAGCTATATTATACTTCATTATTTTGAATTACTTTTCCATCCAATAATAAACAAAAGTACTTACCTTATTCACAAGGAGCTCTGGTAGTGGAATGGTTATGAATTGGGCTGCTAACCTCAGGGTCAGCAGTTTGAAACTACCAGCTGTTCCACAGGAGGAAAATGAGGCTTTCTGCTCCTGTAAAGATTTACAGCCTTGGAAACCCTGTACAGCGTCGCTATAAGTCAGAACCGACTCCACAGCACACAACCACCACCACCACCTTATTTACACTCCATTACTACCTTCTACATTGTAATGAAGGTCTGGGGATGATAATGGTTAATCACTGGAAAGTAATTGAAAGGTAGTGATTCAAACTGAAAAGCCACTAAGCAGAAGAAAAGACTTGGTGATTTGCTCTCTAGAGATTACAGCTTGGGATATTCTATGTGGCTGTTGTATTCTGTCCTAGATGATGACTATATGTTGAAATCAACTCAGCAAATAACAACCTTAGAGTACCTGCTTGTTATTCTACCCATCAGTTATATATTCCACATGATTGACATATGTCAGCAAGATGTATGAGCATGCCTCTCATAAACATGAGTGAAATAAACTGGTTTATTCCTAGTATTCCATCCAAATTCAAAATTCATTAAAAATATATCTCACTTTTAATATTCTGAAAGCTCAAGGGAAAAACATAAATATTAAGTTATGAAACATATCATCAATGGTTTTAAATATTCACATATAAATGTACAGTACCTGTAAGAGATATATTAAATATTCATTCTGAGAATTAATGATATTGGCACTAGAGGGCGCTATTCCATCAGGTAAGTCCATTGCTTTAAAAATAACATTTGATGCTTCTGATTGTCGTAAAAGATTGACCTCTTTTTCAAGATGATCTATCTGAAACAAGAAACCCAGGGTAGAAAAACACATTTTTATAACTACAGAAAGACAAATTTAAAAGCTCATATTTTTTTCTACTGAATACTTAGAAAAGTATATATAATGAATATATTGCCAGGAATTAAATAAAACTTTAATTTCTACTAAAAAATCATGAGGTATAAGATTCAGAATTTGTGTTCTTTTTATATTATAAAGAATTTATTTTTCACTTTATTTCATATGAAATAATAAACAGGAGTTTTCTTAATGCCAAAATAATTAAACTACGGGCCATTTTCAAAAATAACCATTTAATAAAACCACAAAGTTTCATTTTAAATATAAGCTCCTAATACCTAACTTTTACTGTAATTTAGTAAAATTCTCACCTTTAAATTTGCTTTAGTCAACTGCTGTGAATAATTTATAGCCTCCTTCCGAGCTTCCCTAAGCTCTTGTCTTAATTCTTCATTCCTCCCAGTAAATTGATCAACTTGGGCTTTCAAATGAAGGTTGGCATCAAAGATTCCTTCTGCATTCTTTGATTCTATAGCCTAATATATTTAGATTACAATGAAGAGATGTGAAAGAAAAAAAATAATAACACTGAAGTCATAATAAAAAGAAAAAAAAGCAAGATCCACCTTTAATTAAATTTTACATTAAGCAGTTTACTATTCAAATTGCTATGCATAATCCCAAAATGTGCCAATTTGATTTATTTATGAATTTAACATTATAAAACTTAAGTTTAATTTATCCCAGCTACTTAAATCAACAATCAACATTCATGGAAGTAGCAGTCAAAACTCAAATGTATTATTGAACTGGGAAAATGTCCTTCCAAAGATCTCTTTGAATTTTTATAAACCAAAATGTCATTTTGATGACTAAGGTGTGTCTGATCCAAGCCATCCGTGGTGTTTTCAATTGTCACAGATGCATTCCAAAGTTGAATTCTGAAAAGAATTGATGCATTCAAACTGTGGTACTGATGAAGAATATTGACTGTATTATGGACTTCAAAGAGAACCAACAAATCAGTCTTAAAGAAGTACAACCCAACGTTAGAAACGAAGCTAGCAAGATTTGACTCACTTGGGACACACCACCATGAAAGATCAATCACTAAAAAGAACATCATGTTTGATAGAGTTGAGGGCCAATAAAAGCATAGGAAAGACTGTGAAGATGGGGCAGGAGTATCCACCAACATTTTATTCTATTATAAACAAAGTTGCCATGAGTTAGAGCTGACTTGACAGTAATTAACAACAGCAACATCAACAACCAAACACGGTAATAACGTCATTAGTACTAACAGTTAATCTAATTAGACAGATAAATTACAATAACAACTAGATAAAAATAAGAAGACTAGTGTTAAACCTTAACTAGTATTTAACTAGCTAGGCACATGACTTATATATATCATTTGGTAGTTAATTCAAGCTTTGACTTGCAATATTCAATAATGTAGAAACCATCAAAAGAAGATGGAAGGACTATAGAGTCACTATTCCAAACAAAAATGGTCGATGTTCATCCATTTCAAGAGGCTGCATATGATCCACAAACAGTGGTACTGAAGGAAGAAATCCAATTAGTACTAAAGGCATTGGCAAAAAACAAGGCTCTGGGAATCGACGGAATACAAATTAAAAGTTTTCAACAAACTGATGCAGAACTAAAGGAACTCTTCTGTGCCAAGAAATTTGGAAGAGAGTTGGGTGGTCAACTGATTGGAATAAATCCATATTAACGTCCAAAGAAAGGTGACACAACACAGCAGATACCATCAAACAATATCAGTGCTATCAAAAGCAAGTGAAATTTTGCAGAAGATAACTCAAAATTGGTTGCAACAGTACATTGACAGAGAGTTGCCAGAAACTCAAGCAAGCTTCAGAAGAGGACATGGAGCTAGGGATAGCATTGCTGATGTCAAATAGATCTTGGCTGAAAGCAGAGAATACCAGAAAGATGTTTACTTATGCTTGATAGACTATGGAAAGGTTTTCAACTGTGTGTACCAAGACAAATTTTGGATAGCACTGCGAAGAATGGGTATTCCAGAACACTTAGTTGTGCTCATAAGAAACCTGTACGCAGACCAAGAGGGAGTTGTTAAAATAGAACAAGGGGATACTGAATGGTTTAAAATCGGAAAGGTGTACATCAGGTTTGTATTCTTTCACCATATTTATTCATTCTGCATGCTGAGCAAATAATCCAAGAAGCTAGATTATATGAAGAAACACATGGCTTCAGGGATGGAGGAAGACTCGTTAACAACCTGCAATAAGCAGATTTTTGCTTGCTGGAAAAGAAGAGGATTTAAAATGCTTACTGATAAAGATCAAAGACAAGTACAGATCGCACCTCAATATAAAGAAAAAAAAGACTCCCATAACTGGATCAATAAATAACACCAAGGTAAATAGAGTCCTGGTGTAGTTCTGTTGAATAATCACTGGACTGCTAACTTCAAGGTCAGTGGTTCGAATCCACCGGCTGCTCCTCAGAAATGCTATATAGAGTTGCTATGAGTTGAAATCCAATCAATGATTCTTAACAACAAGAACAAATGGTGAAAAGATTGAAGTTGTCAAAAGACTGCATTTTGCTTGGAGGCACAATTAACAATCATGGAAGCAACAGCCAAGAAAATCACAAGACATATTGTTTTAGGTTAATCTGCTGCACAGCCTCTTTAACGCACTCAAGAGCAAAGATATCAGTTTGAGGACTAAGGTGCCCCTGACCCAATCCATGGTATTTTCAATCACCTCATATGCTTGTGAAAGTTATATTAGAAAACACTATTAAAAGTACCATGGACTGCCAGAAGAACAAACAATTAGGTGTTGGAAAAATACAGCCAGAATGTTCCTTAGAAGCTAGGATGGTGAGGGAGACTTAATCTCTCATACCTGATACATGCTGTTAGAAGGGACCAGTCCCTGGAGAAAAACATCATGCTTAAAAAGTGAAGGGTCAACCAAAAAGAGGAAGACCCCCTGAAGAGGATGGACTGACACAGCGAGAACAAGAATGGGCTTCAGTATAACAACAACTGTGAGTCTGGTGCAGGATCAGGCAGTGTTTTCATTCTGTTGTGTTTTGGATCGCTATGAGTGGGAACTAACTCAATATCACCTAACAATAATAACAAATAGAGATAAGCTGTGAAAATAAAAAATTCCAGCCCTAAAAGTGTGGTTTGTTGTTATCTCAAATACAATGTAAACTGGGGATCACTGTATTAAAAACAAACAAAAAACTACTTAATGATTCTAGAGAGCTAATGAAAGCAGACCGATTTTGGAGGAGACTCAAAATTGGAACGATAGGAACAGTTGGCATGATGGTACCATTTTTAAGGCTTTTTCTAAGGGTAGGCCACAGTCACAGTTGCCTTCCAACTTTCAGACTTAGAAAACCAAATGACAGAAACAAGAAAGTGAATCCCAGAAAGAGAAGTATCAGAAAAAGGGATCTACAAATTCTGTGTAAAATTTCCTGGCTTCAGCCTAACACTTGAATCAGAAGAATGAAGATAATAGAGAAAATTTCTGTAATCTTAAAAGTAGATTAATAGGAATTACCTAACTGGATAGAAAAAAATAAGAGCATCATATCTTTATGCAAATAATATGCACACTATACTTTGTTTTGATTTCTTTTGGTTTTTTTTGCCAAGGTATTTTTGGAAGCATACTTCATGCTTATGAAAATACTATGGAAGGGCATGGATAGCAAAAATGTATAACACATATGTTAGTAGCATAAAAATATAGTACATGCAAGCATCAGTGACCGTAAATAAACTACAGAGGAAGGTGACTATGATAGTTAATATTACATGTCAGCTTGGCTAGGTCATGATTCTCAGTGATAAGGCTGATACAACATAATCACCTCTAATTTGAGAAGTGATATGAGCAGCCAATCAGTTAAAAGGGATGTTTCCTTGGGGTTGTGGCTTGCCTCTGTATATGATGGATGTTCTAGAAAAGCTTACTCTGTTTACTGTACTCCTCTTACTGTCTGACCTCCAGTTCTTGGGACATCATCAGCTTGCAGAATTCTTCAACCTGCAGGCTGACCTGCAGATTTTAGATTTTCCAACTCCCAAACCCTGTGAACTAGCAGGGACTTCAGTCTGCTACCTGACCTGCAGATTTCAGGTTTATCATCATCTGAAACCAGGTGAGTCATTAGAGGTCTTCAGCCTGTGGCCTGACTCACAGACTTGGGACTTGCCAGCTCCCACAATTACATGAGCCTTTTCTCATAACTGCATCAACCATTTCATGAAATTAAATCTCTCTATAATTATATAAACACATCACATGTCTTGTTCCTCTAGAAAACTGAGAACAAGACAATGGTGGTGTAAGCAGTGTTATATGTCCTGTTACACACATTGCTGTTGTTAAGTGCCGTCAAGTCAGTTCCAACTCACAGCAACACTGTATAAAGTTTCCGAGGAGCGTCTGGTCAGTTTGAACCACCAAACTTGTAGTTCAAACCAAGCATAAGGTCAGGTCCTCATCCTATGGCACCACTGTAGGACTGAAACATGAAAAATAGAAACAGAACATGGCAGAAATAAATTGTCAAAACTGTTGAAACCAGTCAGTTACAGTCACTAAGCAAATGCTCATTCAAGAAGAAGTGAAGAGGTTTCTGAGGCAAGGTAGTGGAGGTAAGCAAGCAGACATGCTGAACAGACCTTCTGTAACAAGGACATCAGGGAACAAGTGGAACAGATATGCATGGTGATCCTGGAATCGTGAGCATCAGGGAAAAGGATAGAGGTAGACTGAGGGTCAATTAGAAGAGGAAGATGAGTGGGAACAGTGAGAAGGTAGACAAGCAGGTATGCTGTTGGCTGGCCTGGAGCCTCTCAGTTACATTGTAGGTAAACACAGAGTCCAGGAAGCACAAGAAGAGCATGAGACTTTGATGACCAGGGGGCACAGTTCTCCCTTGTTCTTACGCCCTCTTGGGGTCAGGGGTATGGCCATTCCCCACCCTTGCCCAATTAGTGGGTAGTGGCTCTCCTTTCTGCACTGCCTCTACTCTGCTTGGTGTCAGGCACAGGGCATAACACCCTTACTTCTGGAAGCACACAAATTTCACCTCTTCAGATCTTATATTGTTGCTGTTTGTTTTGGGGAGAAAGTAATTGTACCATATGGTCGAGCAACACTTATACCTCCTATGGCTCTACCTACTGGATAAGTGCCACTACCCATTCTTGTACCACCTGTTCAATGGTAATTAGTCATATCAGATAACTCTGCTCTGAACTATGCTACACAAACTGCATACACACTTCCAGTCTCTATCACACCCACCAGGAACCTGGTAGTAAATGCCATACCAACCTACAGTCAGCGATTAAATACGATTACAATGTCTCGGAGGAAACAGCTAATTTCGGCTTACACAAAGAAGCAGGCAGGACACAGGGGTTCAAACAAGCAACCAAAATAGAGTCAGAAAATATAATACCAGAAATGGTATTTGAATTACCTGATTAGGTATTCAAAGGAATGATATTTAGGTAACTTCAACAAATCGAGAAAGCTGCAGATGCAATAAGGGGAAAAAACAGACAAAACGTAAGAAGAATTCAAGGAAACACTATAAGAAAACAGGGACAAAAGCAACGAATAATTAAAGACCATACAAAAACAGCAAATAGACATCCAGAAGAATAATAGTAAAATTTCAGCAACAGATAATACACTGAAAGGGCAAGGCAGTAGAACTGACTCAACGGGAAGGCCAAATTAGTGAGCTTGAAGACAAATCTCTCAATACTCATCTTCAAGAGGACCCATCAGAGAAAAGAACAATGACCAAAAAAAAAAACAAAAAAAATCCAAAGAAAGCCTAAGAACTATGCAGAACACCATCAAGAGGAATAACTTACATGTAACTGGAATTCAAGAACAGGAAGAGACAGTAAAAAACCACAAAGAAAACCACCAGAGGTGTTGGAAGAAAACTTCTCTAACATCATGAAAGATGAGAAAACATGCATTCAAGAAACTTCAAACAGGATAGTTCCCAAAAAGACATACTATGATGAAACCAAAGTCAAGGAAAGAATCCTAAGACCAGCTCAAGAAATGCAAAAAGTTTCCTATAAAAGAGAACTAATAAGGAGTCCTGGTGTGGCAGTTCAAATCTCCAGGCTGCTCCCTAGAAACCTATACAGGGTCACTATGAGTTGGAAGTCACTATGAGTTGGAAGTCACTTGATGGCACTTAACAATAACAATAAGAACCTGATTTTTCAACAAAATCATGCAGGCAAGAAGACAATGGGATGATATATATAAAGCTTGAAAGAAAACTTGCCACCCAAGAATCATATATTCAACAAAATTAACCCTCAAATACAATGATGAAATTAGGAGATTTCCAAATAAACAGAAATTAAAAGAAGTTGTAAAAATCAGACCAATTTTACAAAAAACAGTAACAGGAGCTCTATGGACAGAGAACCAAGAACAACAGATAACAACCTGAGATGAACACACATGGCAATATCATCCAGAACTCAACCTAGATATAGAAGTATCCAAAGTAAACAAACCTACGAGACTGAAACTAGGGCACCAAAGATACCAGTTTGCAACAAAAGGAACCACAGAGTTTTTAAAAAGGGAATAGTGTAGTTACAGAAATTTCAAATGAAGAGGAAATCAAGCAAATTTCAAGAAAAAATACGAAATAAATAAAAATAAACCTGTTACCCTAAAACTAGACCAAGCCCTACTCCTAGCACTAGCCCAGCCCCTACCCCATGCCTAATTCTAACTATAACTATAACTATAACACTACATGAGGCCCAGGCCTATCCTAGGCCTGTTTCCTTAATCCTACCACTAAAAAAAAAGAAAAAGAAACAGAAGATATCAAATTGTAGAAAAACTTTGGTTTTCTATATGGCCATGCCTCTTCCCCTCATCAAATTGCCATAAAAATTATTAAATACTTATATATAAATATGAAATCTGTGACTATAATGACATAAAATGTGGGAGGAGAAAGCTTTATAGGAAGAGGCTTATCATAGTCTATTGAAGTTAAATCCCTAAAATGGTTTATTTCAAACTAGAACGTTAAAAACGTAGGATGTTAAAAATAATCTAAGAAATCCACACATAGTGAACAAAAAAGAAACAAAACGGTTCACTTCAAAAAACCAACTGAACATAAAAGAAGAACGCATTATAGGATATGAGTGAGACAAAAGGTATATAAGATACAAAGAAAACAAATAGCAACATGGCAGAAGTGCTTCCTTATAGGAAATGACCTTAAAATAAGTGCTTCCTTATAGGAAATGACCTTGGATTAAATACACCAATAAAAAGGCAGATTGGCAAAGTATATGAAAACAAGATTTGTTTATAAGAAGTTTTCTATAAGGACAAATCTGAGATCCAAAAACACAGCAGGTTGAAAGTGAAAGGATGGGAAAAAAATATTCCGTGTAAATGGTCACCAACAGAAAACTAGTGGTGGCTATATTAATATTAATGAAACAGACATTAAGTCAAAACTACTATAAGCGACAAAGCATATTATATAATGATCAAAGAATCAATTCATCAGGAAGAGACAACTATAAATATTCATGCTACTAACAGAGCTCTGGAGTCCTGGTGTGGCACTGTGCATTAATACACTGAACTACAAGGTCACTTTGAACTGCAAGGTCAGTGGTTCGAGCTCACCAGACCCTCCTCAGAAACGCTACACAGGTAAGCTATGAGTCGGTACGACTCGACAGCACTTTACAACAACAGAGCTCTAAAATATATGAAGCAAACACTGTCGAACTAAAGAACAGAATATCTTAAATAGATCAGTTAATAAACAAAGGGCTTGATCAACACTTTAAACCAACTGGACCAATAAACAACATTCTTATCAATGGAGAAAAGATTGAAGTTGTCAAGGACTTCATTCTTCTAGGATCAACTATCAACACTCACAGAAGAAGCAGTTAAGAAATCAAATGATGTATTGCATTAGGCAAATCTGCTGCACAAGACCTTTTTAACGTGTTGAAGAGCAAAGATGTCAGCTTGAGGACTAAGGTACGTCAGACCCAAGCCATGGTATTTTCAATAACCTCATATGCATGTGAAAGCTGGACAATAAATAAGGAAGACCATAGAAGAACTGATGCTTTTGAGTTGTGGTGTTGGAGGAGAATATTGAAAGTCTATGGACTGCCAGAAGAACTAATAGACCTGTTTTGTAAGAAGTGCAACCAGAGTGTTCCATGGAGGCCGAGAGGGCCAAACTTCAACTTTCATACTTCAGACATATTGTCAGGAGGGACCAGTCATTGGAGAAGGATATCATGTTTGGTAAGGTGGAGGGTCAGAGGAAAAGAGGAAGATAGCCAACGAGATGGATTGGCCAAGTGGCAGCATCGATGGACTCAAGCGTGGCAACAGTAGCAACTTTGGCCCATGCAGTGTTTCGTTCTGCTGTGCATGGTTCGGTATCAACTCGATGGCACCTAACAACAACAACAACAATAAACCAACTAGGATCCCTGGTGGCACAGCGGTTTAACCATTGGGCTACCAATGGAAAAAGGTCTGTGGTTTGAATCCACAAGCAGCAGTGCAGAAGAAAGGTTAGGCAATCTGCTTTTGTTAAGATTTACAGCCTCAGAAGCCCTACTATAACCCAGTTATATTCTGTTCTATAGGACATTATGAGTCAGAAATGACTTGACATCAGTGGGTTATAAACCAACTAGACCTATCAGATATGTATATACGTAGGTACATAATATATGTTATATTATACATATGTTATAACATATATATTATGTATCTACATATATAAAGGGCTCTGGTAGCATAGTGGTTACCATCAGGCTGCTAACCTCAGGGTCAGCAGTTCAAAACTACCAGCTGTTCCACGGGAGAAAGATGAGGCTTTCTGCTCTCATAGATTTACAGCCTTGGAAACCCTGTACTGAGTCACTATGAATCAGAACCTACTCTATAGCATATCACAACAACATCAACATTTACATATATGCTCTAT